CGCCTCGCCTCCCAGAGTGCTAAGATTACAGGCGTGAGCCACCGCACCTGGCCTCTCATTGACATTTATTACAAAAAAAGATAATACAGGTTTGTGATTAGAAAATTCAAATAAAAGTTCAAAAGGAGAAATGAAACTCTCCTCACAGTGCTCCAGCCTCGATGCCAAAGATTACTACTATTAACCATTTCTTCTTGTGTTTCCTTACAGACAAAATTTTTATGCATAATACTAGAATGTAAATAATCTCTCTATATATTTCAAAAGTTAATTCACACAGAAAGGATCATGTCAAACATGGTTCTGCATGTTTCTTTTTTAACTTAATGTAAGATTACACCTGAGTTCTCTTGTGTCAAAAGACATTCATATTTAAAACATCTGAGCAGGATTCAGAGTTCAGTATACGGCTGTTGTATAGAATTTTTTTTCTTTTTTTTTTTTGTTATTTTTTTGTTTTTATTTGTTTTATTTTTTGTTGTCGTATAGAACTTTATCTTTGTGAAGCTAACTAGAGATTTTTAATATGAGACTAATTAGCACCATTCTAGGGTCAACCCTTCCTTCACCCAACCCTTTGAAAACACACATGTACAATGACATGATTGAATGCTTCTAAAACAAAGGGGTGGGTTTAAATGGATGGAATTTGCTTTTCAGGATGAGAATGAAATATTTACCGCTTCACTCAAATTTAGTTCACACTCGTTAACAAGAAACGTGGGCTACTTTTGAACTAGTGACAGCAACTGGGAAAAAAGAGCTCCATATACTCTCCCTTCTTTTCTGTGGGAAGTTCTAATTGTGTACACAATTCTAGCATTTTGGGAAATAGTAGGTTACACTGAAAGACTAGTCCGTCTCATATAAGTCTTCATTATTCAAAGCTTCGGAGGCTTAAGAGTTCACTGGGAAGATGTCAACTTTAATCTTCTTTAATTCTCTTCAGCTGATGGGCGGAATGCACTTGTTCAGGTAGAAGATGTCTCACTAGCTGCTAAGCTAGTTGATTTGCCTTGTGTTATCGGAAGCCTGAAAACTTATGATAAAAAAACCTTTTATAAAACAGCAGATATTTCCCAGGTATGAACTAGTTTTTTTAATGTACTAGCTCTCACATCCTTCAGGGAATCCCTTTCTCCCTCCATTTTCTCTCTTTCAGCACTCCTTTCCACTAGGTCAATGGCTGCTTGTCATTTCTAATTTCCAGATCGATTGCATAGAAATGAAATGTCATGTTCCGGTTTGGTGTTTGATCCTTAGCTTTTCAGTACTTTATTTTGTCCAAATAGCTTGTAGAGCCCCCTGTTTGCCATTTATAGTGACTTTTCATCAATTGAAAAAATATGAGCAGCTGGGAATCTTTTGAACTTTCTGCTAAAGCAGTATGCCGTTAACGCTGGAGGTTTAAATTGGTTCTTATCATCATCTCTGCTGTTGATTTCTTATTTCCTCTCTAAATCGAAATGTTAAGATATATCTGTTTTCAATGTATTCCCTCTGCAGTGGTGAGCTCTCTAGCTAAAAAAAAAAAAAAAACCTCAGAGTCCATATATAGTGCTGCTGGTGGGGGGAGGGGAAGGGGAGGAGGAGGGAGAATATGAGAGAATATAGGTATATATTACATAACACTTGGTGTCCTAGAAATGCCAAGTATCAGTCTTTTCTGTGCTCTAAGATTTCTGGTAGTAAGAATGATCATGATTTATTGTTAACCCAAGATTTATGGCCATAATAACTTCTTTGTCTTTGTTAAATGTAGATGCTTGTGTGTAAGCCTGTTGATCTCCGCTCTTCTCCAGAAGAACCAGTTACCTCTGATGTTCAAGCAATGAGTAAAGATGAAAAGGAGAAACAGAAGAAGTATGTCTGGAAGCATGGCAGTAAGTCACCAGTCCTGTGCTCATTCTGGCTGACTACATTTATCTGCTGAATTGTGATTCCTTGTGAACCAGGGACCTCTTACCACACTTAGGTGTTTGGTTCATTAGGCTCTCAGACACTGTTAAGGGAAGGAGTCATGTCATGAGCCAGTGGCTTTCTCTATCAAATTCAGATAGATATGAGACTACCATCAATCATACATACGTTTCACTTTGTTGTATTTTTTATTTTAGTTACTCCACCACTTAAGAATGTTAGAAAGAAAAGGTTCCGGAAAACAACAAAAAAGGTTAGTTGCATGTTGTTTGTGTGTCTGCTGGGTAGATTAGAAGAGGATTGTGAGTAGGAAGGAAAGGGAGAAAGTCAGTTGGGAATTAATGTGTTCATTCATTCATATGTTCAGTAAACATTTATTGAATGCGAGCTAAACACCAGTACTATGTTAGCAGATGGGAATATAGCAGTGAATAAAAACAAACCTGATCCTTGAGGTTACAGCCTAGTTGAGAGGGGTCTGGAGGAATCATGAATTTGAAATTTCTGCTAATGCTTTTAGTTTTCAATTGCAAGATCTGGATTTAAAGTGAACTCATCCAGGACCTAAGAATTGGGAATTGTAGTTATATTTTTCTAACCCTATTTCAGGCTGGTAGATCCTTGGGCAAGGTACAGGAGTACTGTGGCTTGGCTTCTTTTTTTTAATTAAACATTGTATTTTCAAAGAATTATAGATTCACATGCAGTTGTAAGAAATAAAACAGAGACACTATGTACCCTTTTTCCAGTTTTCCCCATTATAACATTTTGCAGAACTATAGCACAATATCCCAAACAGGAACTTGACATTATTATAATTCACCAATTTTATTCAAATTTCTCAAGTTTTTACTTGTACTCATGTGTTTGTGTGTGTGTGTTTAGTTTTATGCAGTTTTATCACATGCGTAGGTTCGGGTATCTACCTACATAGTCCAGATACTAAACAGTTTCACCACCACAAGGATCCCTTATCTTGCCCTTATATAACCATATCCACCTTTCTTCCACCACAAACTCCTGGTCCCTAACATCTGGCAATCACTCATCTGTTCTCCATCTCTGTAATTTTGTCATTTCAAAAATGTCATATAAATGGAATCATACCATATATAACATCAGAGACTAGCTTATTTTTCCACTCAGCATAATTCCCTTAAGATCCTTGTAAGTTTTTGCAGTATCAATAGTTTGTTCCTTTTTATTGCTGAGTAGTATTCCATGGTATGAATGTACCACAGTTTAACTGTTCGCCCATTGAAAGATACCTGGGTTGTGTCCAGTTTGTGACTATTATAAATAAAGCTGTGAACAGGTTTTTGTGTGAACATAAGTCTTCATTTCTCTGGGATAAATGCCCAGGAGTATAATTGCTGGGTCATATGGTAGTTGCATGTTTAGTTTTATAAGAAACTACTCCACTATTTTCCAAAGTGGCTGTACCATTTTACATTTCCACCAATAATGTATGAGTGATCTAGTTTCTCCACCTCCTCACTAGCATTAGGTGTTGTCACTGTTTTTTATTTTAGCCATTCTGATTGGTATGTAGTGATCTCCTTGTGATATTAGTTTACATTACCCTGATGGCTAATGATGTTGAACATCTTATGTGCTTGCTCTCCATCTGTATATCCACTTCAGTGAAATGTCTGTTCATGCCTTTCGTCCATTTTCTAAATGGGTTTTTTTCATTATTGAGTTTTGAGAGTTCTTTTTATATTCTATTAACAAATACAAGTCTTTTGTCAGATATGTAGTTTGCAAATATTTTCTCCCAATCTATATCTTATCTTTTCATCCCCTTCTCAGGGTCTTTCAAAGACCAAAAGTTTTTAGTTCCGATGAGGTCCAACTTATTTTTTTTTCTGTTAAGGATCTTGCTTTTTGTGTTAAATCTAAGAACTCTTTGCCTAGCCCAGATCCTGAAGATTTTCATCTATGTTTTTAAAAAAAGTTTCACATTTTATATTTAAGACTGTGAGCCGGGCGTGGTGGCTCACGCTTGTAATCCTCCTGTGGGAGGCCGAGGCGGGAGGATCGCTCGAGGTCAGGAGTTCGAGAGCAGCCTGAGCAAGAACGAGACCCTCTCTCTACTAAAAATAGAAAAAATTAGCCAGTCAACTACAAATAGAAACAAAAAATTAGCCGGGCATGGTGGTTCACATCTGTAGTCCCAGCTACTCAGGAGGCTGAGGCAGGAGGATCACTTGAGCCCAGGAGTTTGAGGTTGCTGTGAGCTAGGCCGACGCCACGGTACTCACTCTAGCCCGGGTGACAAAGTGAGACTCTGTCTTGGAAAAAAAGAAAAAAAAGACCGTGATCCATTTTTTTTTTATTTCAGCATATTATGGGGGTACAGATGTTTAGGTTACGTATGTTGCCCTTACCCCACCTGCCCCTCTAAGTCCGAGTTTCAAATATGTCCATTCTTCGGGTGGTGCGCATTGCACTCTTTATGTATGCATATACCCGTCCCCTCCCCCCTCCTCCCCCCATGATCCATTTTTGAGTTATTTTTTATAAAAGGTATGATATTAAATTCAAGGCTTTTTTTTTTTTGCCTAAGGCTGTCCAATTGTTCCAGCACCGTTTGTTGCAAAGGCTGTCCTTCCTTCACTGTATTGCTTTTGCACCTTTGCTAAAAATCAGTTGGGCATACGTGTGTTGGTCTATTTCTGGGTTTTCTGTTGTGTCCAATGATCCATGTGCTAATCCCTCCACCAGTAGTACAGTGTATCTATATAATAGGCCTTGAAATCAGAAGACTGATTGTTCCCACTTTATTGTTCTTTGTCAATATTGTTTTAGCCATTCTAGAGCCTATACCTTCCCATATAAATCTTATAATAAGCTTGTCTATGTCTGCAGAAAATCTTGCTGGAATTTCGATAGAAATTACATTAAACTTACAGTTCAATGTGAGGAGAATTGACAACTTTACTCTCTTGAGTATTCCAATCCATGAACACGGTTGCCTTGGCTTTTATACTCTGTCAGTCAACAGTGTTTATTGAGTGGCTACTAAATGTAAAACTAAGTTAAGAATAGTTATAGAGCTCTTTAAGCTTTACTGAAGTAGAATAATCATAATATAAATTCATTGTTTATTGTGTTTTCTTTCATAGCCCAATGATTTCAAACAAATGGAAGAAATCAGCTTTACTGAGGTAGAGCAATCATAACTTCATTGTTTACCCTTAGTGTGTTTTGTTTAATAGCTCATTAGTTTCAAACAAATCAAATAAATCATAAAGGTTACTTTCGAGCTTTCCTTCTCACCCTTAACCCCCACTCCCATACAAGTACACTGGATTTGATTCACTGAATAATGAATTCATTGTTCGTTGTCCAGTGACTCCTAGGAAAAGATACAATTTGGCCACTGACTCTGTATTCTGATCTGCTTTTTTCTCTGATACTTATTTCAAATGCTATTCCTTGGAAGCCAGGGTTCATTTTTAGCAGCAGTTGTTTGCAATTGCTTATTCCCCCTCAAAGTCTTAATTTCTATTTGTGGCATGACAAGTTGGTTGCTGTGGAGATAATTATCTAAAACTGGATTCAAGGGAGAACATGTAGCTAAGATCCAGTTTTTGTAGGAACATATCTAATAATAAAGATGTGGGGGCCAGGCGCAGTGGCTCATGCCTATAATCCTAGCACTCTGGGAGGCCAACACAGGAGGATTGCTTGAGCTCAGGAGTTCGAGACCAGCCTGAGCAAGAGCGAGACCCCGTCTCTACTAAAAATAGAAAAAATTAGCCGGATAGAAAAAAAAAAAATATTAGCCAGGCGTGGTGGTGCATGCCTGTAGTCCCAGCTACTGGGAGGCTGAGGCAGGAGGATCGCTTGAGCTCAGAAGTTTGTGAGCTAGGCTGGTGCCATAGAGTGAGACTGTGTCTCAAACAAATAAATAAATAAGAAAATAAAGATGTGGGGAAGTGAAATCTGAGAATTTGGGTCTTTAAACCAAATTACTTCTAAACAGCTAATAAAGAATTATAGTTCTTTGCCAATATGAATCGGGGCAAATAATTAATAACTGAGACCTAAGGGCTGCACCTCTGAGAGAGATCTTTACCATAGAGTTGCAAATGGAAAAGATTAAATGTCTCAAATAATTTGTTTAATTGGGAAAAAAATAAGTTTACTGTAAAAAAATTTAGACCACGGCTAAAAATTCCTTCATAAATAGCACTAAAGTAGAAATTTGGCATCTAAAAAGGTCTAATCATTTGAATTCATTGGTATGCAGGAAAAGGACATTTCTGGAGAACACGAAGTGTTAGTTGACGGTGTTGGTATCCTCTCCCCCACTTCGCTTCAGTGCACTGACTCTCCAGATGTGGAAAAGGATGTAAAGAGACTGCTGTCTTCAGATGCTGAAGCTGTCTGTGCACGTATCCTTTATAAAAATATTTTCTGCATAGCCTGTTCCACCCCATCTGCATGTGCTGACAAACCCTCATTTGTGTGCCAGTTTTGATGTGTAGAACTTAAGATTTTTGGAAATGTTACGTTCTAGCTAGGAACAGTAAAATCATGTAATAGACATTTATTTACTTGTGTAATTCAATATAAGGCACTTCTCTAAACTAGGAATCCACAAATAGCGTAAAGTTGGACTAAATTAAATAGCACCTTTAGCCAGAATCTTTTCCCCTTCAACTGTGCCTTCTCCTTTCCTTCTGCATTTTCCTTGACTGCCTCCTTCTTTCAGGATGGGAAGTCATTACTGAAGGTGAAACCAAGGAAATAGAAAGTCAAGGTTCCATTCCAGGCTTTGAGATAGCCCCAGGAATGAGTGGCTACAATCAAGGTCACATCTCAGGTAATTTAGTTAAGGCAAAGCAGGAGCTTCAGATAGGACAGCTGTTGACTCGGTATCAGATCATTCTCCATAGATTCACAGGTGAATCACAGAAAAAGAATGCCTTTACCGTTCTTCCCTCCTATTGGTCTCTCAGTGCTTTAAATGTTTTAGGTTGGTGTTCTAATGTCCCATCCACCCCTGGTATTCTAACTTCTTGTGGACGCTTAGATTCTCTAGATGTCTGGGTCATTGAATATGTGAATGAATGTTACAGTGTTTTTCATTTACTGTCCCTGTTTTATGAAGGGAATAATCCTCCTGTGAGAAAGATGATTTATAAAATTCACTGGTTGCCCAGTGAATTTGAATGTAAGGAGTATGATTGTATCTGGAGTGGGAGTCATTTGCAAAGCTTCAGGTAGTTTCTCCTTCCTCTTGCGTAAAACCGATAGAATATGATATGCTTCGGGAGACGTTCAGTGATTCTAGTAGTAACAGTGATGATGATGATGATGATGACAACAACGAAGATGACGACAATGAGGAGGAGGATGACAATGATGAAGATGAGGATGACGATGATGAAGATGAGGATGAGGATGATGAAGAGGAAGATGATTATGAAGAGGACTCTGAAGAAGAGCTGGAAAGGGAGCTACAGGCCAAGTTTATGGCATCTGGCCAGTATGAGGCAAAGGACGGTGCCAGTTCAGTGGGTAAGTCAGAGTGAAAAACAGGGATGGGACAGGGTGAGTGGCAGTGCTAACAGCTGACTCTAAATGCACATTAGATGCAAGGCTAAGTTTAGAAGTTATTGCTCGGGCCGGGCACAGTGGCTCGCGCCTGTAATCCTAGCACTCTGGGAGGCCGAGGCGGGTGGATCGTTTGAGCTCAGGAGTTCGAGACCAGCCTCAGCAAGAGCGAGACCCCATCTCTACTAAAAATAAAAAGAAATTAGCTGGACAATTAAAAATATTTATAGAAAAAAATTAGCCAGGCATGGTGGCGCATGCCTGTAGTCCCAGCTACTCGGGAGGCTGAGGCAGGAGGATCACTTGAGCCCAGGAGTTTGAGGTTGCTGTGAGCTAAGCTGATGCCACAACACTCTAGCCCAGGCCACAGAGTGAGACTCTGTCTCAAAAAAAAAAAAAAAAAGAAGTTATTGCTCAAATGCATAGTGAAGTTTTACTTGATTAGTTTAGGCTAGGCTCTATTTAGATACATAAAGTTTCTATCTCTGTTAGTCTCTGAAATTCAGAAGCAGATTCATTACATAGAGAAAAGGCTCCACAGGATTCAGAAAAAAGCACAAAGACAAAAGACTCTCATCATGAAAGTGGAGAACCTGATGCTCAAGGTAAATTCTTATTGCCTGGTTTAAAGAAATCTTGGTATCTTACTTTCAAAATCCATCCCATGTTTGTGTTTCCACTCATGTCATCTCTATGAGGCATTCTTGTTCATTCATGAACTTAAATAATCTCTTAGAAACTCCTAATAAAAGATAGCCCTGTTTCCTTTTACCTGGGTAACTTTTATCTTCTAATATAAGCATTTTTGGGAAGGGATCAGGTGACTTAAGAATAGTCAGTATTGAACATTTACTATGTAGAAAGCACCTAAAGAGCTAAGAATTGTACATGTATTATCTCATTTAGCCTCATATCCCTGAAGCTTAGATATTGTCACCATTCTCGTTTCATAGATAAAGAATTGAAATTCAAAGAGGTTAATTAACTTGCCGAGACTCACAGTAAATGGTAGGGCATAGATTGAACCCTGTCGTTTGTACCAAAATGTATTCATTGCGGTAAAGGAGAATTAACTAAATTAGTTTTTATATTTTTTGATGCATGCTTGAACAAGAATATCTTGCTTTACTTTTAGTAATACATGTTTAAGAGTCTCAACAAAAGGAAAATGTATGTTAGGCCATGTTTGCTTACATTTTTGCAATGAGGGAAATTCTGAAGTATTTGGAGAATTCCTTGCCAGATTTCATTTTCTGTAGAGCTGTGGTCATCAAAGGGGAGCAGCTTGACACAGAATTATGCCCATTTTGATGTTATCCTTTAGAATAACCAAGTAAGATAATAGATAAGGACATACTTTGAAAGATTCATATATATTGTATTATTATGATTGTTATTGTTGCATATTTTACTAGATAGGCATAGTACTATTCTGCCCTGGTGAGGGGAAATGGAGGAGTTGTCAGCAGCTTCTTTAATAGGTCACCACAGCCAAAGGATTTGTGCTAAACTAGAAAAAGGTGACATGAAGGCATTCCAGTCATTTATTTTAAGGCAAGAAAAAACGTTGTGTAGGGTGTATAAAATAAAATAGGATAGCACTGTTGTTAAGGGGTGTAGTTTTTATAATCTAAATCCTTTAAAAAAGAGTGCCCTTTTGTATGACTGACAGTTTTCTTACCAGATTACTTGCCAAACTCCTTGTTTCTCTTGGTCCTTTTTACTTTGAGACTCAGAATTCATCATTTATACAATTTGTTTTCAGAATCATTTTCAGTCTGTGCTGGAGAAGCTTACGTTGGAGGAAAATCAAAAAACTGAGCAGGTGAGAAGTATGTTTCCAAATCGACCAGAACACATTTGATACAAAGAACCCCCCACCTCACCCCCAATATCATTTCTGGCTATTCCTCTCAGAGGAATAGTGGTGGCCAAATCTTCCAAATCAAGGTAGCAGGGTGGAACGAGGTCTTTGTGAAAATTTACTCATTCAACAGATATTGAATGCCTAGGAAGTGAAAAGCACTGGATGTACAGTATCGAATAAGACAGATACAATACAATAAGCCCTCAGTGTTATCGATAGCTACTTGGAAACTGCAACGTTAAGCAAAACGACGTATAATAAAACCAGTTTTGCCATAGGCTAATTGATATAAACAGGAGTTAGTTCCTATGGTATATTTCTGGTCACAAAAATATCACCAAACTACTAAATAAAAAACAAAACACTGGCCAGGTGCAGTGGCTCATGCTTATAATCCCAGCACTTTGGTCTTTGGGAAGCTGAGTTAGGAGGATTGCTTGAGGCCAGTTCAAGACCAATCTGGATAACATAGTGAGACCCCGTCTCTACAAAAAATAAAAAAAATTAGCCGAGTGTAATGTCATGCACCTGTAGTCCCAATTACTTTGGAGGCTGATGCAGGAGGATCGATTGTGCCATTGTACTCCAGTCTGGGTGACAGACCAAGACCCTGTCTCAAAAAAAAAGAAAAAACACTCCTAATATTAAGCATTGAAATAAATGTGAGCTAAGCATATATTGAAGAAAGATCAATAAAAACAAGTAAGATAATTATTACCCAGTGATTCCAGTTCAGAGTCATGGGTGGCCAGAGCCTATCCCTGCAGCTCAGGGTGCAAGGTGGGAACCAGCCCTGAACAGGACACCATCCCATCGCAGAGCACACTCACACACACCCACACTCAGACTGGGACCATTTAGACATGCCAGTGAATCTAACATGAACATCTCTGGGATGTGGGACGAAGCCAGAGTACCGGGAGAAAACCCACACAGCCATGGGGAGAATGTACAAATGCCACACAGATAGATAGGAGAACATTATTCTCATTAACAGTATAACGAAACAACATTGAACTCACGACATTATAAAAGGACCTTTTATATGTCATTTCACTTAAAGTTGCAGTTTCCAAGCACCTATTGATATTAAGTGAGGGCTTACTATAACAAAACAACGTTGAATGAAACGATATTATTCAAAGACCTGCTGTACTAGTCCTTATGGTGCTAACAGTCTAGCCAGGGAGATTGACAGTAAACAAATTATACAAATATGAAGGTAGAAATTGTGAAGAAGTTCTATGAAGGAAGTAAAGTCAATGGTGCTAGGAGAGGCCTAAATTAAATTGGGAGATCATGATAGGCCTCTCTGAGGAGATGATATTTAAACTGAGACCTAAAGGATAAGTCCAGGCAAAGAGTGAGATGAGGAGCCTCTGGGATGGAGCACATGCAAGGTCCCATGTTGAGAAAGAACTTGGCCTCTTTGAGGACCTTGGAAATAAGCAAAGAAGAGAATGGCTTAATATAAGGTTGGAGGAATAGGCAGAGGCCATAGCATATGGCCTTGCGGCCATGATAAGGGGATGGGTTTTAGTCTTAAATGCAACGGGAAGCCCTTGAAGAATTTTAAGCAAGAGAATCATATCTAATTTGAACTTTTTAAAGATTACCCTGATTATTATCTGGAGAATAGATTGTAGGAAGGCAGAAGTAGAAGCAAAGAGGCCAGTTAGGAGGCTGTGTGGTAGTCTAATAAGAAATGATGGTATGGCCAGGTGTGGTGGCTCATGCCTGTAATCCTAGCACTCTGGGAGGCTGAGGTAGGAGGATTGCTTGAGGTCAGGAGTTCAAGACTAGCCTGAGCAAGAGCGAGACCCCGTCTCTACTAAAAATAGAAAAAATTAGCCAGGCATGGTGGCCCATGCCTGTAGTCCCAGCTACTCAGGAGGCTGAGGCAGGAGGATCGCTTGAGCCCATGAGTTTGAGGTTGCTGTGAGCTAGGCTAACGCCACGGCACTCACTCTAGCCAGGGCAACAGAGTGAGACTCTGTCTCAAAAAAAAAAACAGCAACAAAAAGACTGTCTCAAAAAAAAAAAAAAATGATGGTAACTTGGGCTAAGGTAGTGGCAGTGGAGATGGAAAGATTTTTAAACTGTAATAAAAATGGTTTTGTAACTGCATTTTATTGAGATGTAATTCACATACCATACAATTCACCCATTTAAACAATACAATTCAAAGGCTTTTAGTATATCCAGAGTTGTGCAACTGTCACCAGAATTTTAGAAGTTTTCAGCACCCCAAAAAGAAACCCTCTACCCATTAGCAGTCACTCCCCATTTCCTCCAAATCTCTCCCCTGCCCAGCCCTAGGCAACCACTAATCTGCTTTCTACTAATCTACTGCTTATTCTGGTTATTTCATATAAGTAGAATCACATAATATATGGTCTTTTGAGTCTGGTTTCTTTCACTTGGCATAAAGTTTTCAAGGTTCATCTATGTTGTGGCATGTATCAGAACTTTATTCCATTTAATACTGATTAATATTACCTTGTATGGACATACCACATTTTGTTTATCCATTCACCCATTGACGGACATTTGGGTTGCTTTCATTTTGGGCTATTGTGAATAATGCTGCTATGAACATTGATACATGAGATAATGTATTTTAAAGGTAGAATTGATGGGACTTGGGCCAATGACTGCATGTTGAAGGAGAAGGAAATGTTAAAGATGTATGCCATACATTGCTCCCCATGCTCAGCCCCACAAGGCCAGGGGAATTTTTATGTTCTGTATATTCCCTTCCTCTCAGCAAATCACTTATCTAAGTTCTGCTTAAAAACAACCAGGTGAACAGATAATGCCAAGATTGCTTTAGTACCCACCAAACATCTTTATCTGTGTAAGTACTTTCATATGCTGTATAACCATGTTTTTTTTGGTCAACAACGGACTGCATATATGATATCAGGTTGTCCCATAAGATTATAATGGAACTGAAAAATTCCTATCACCTAGTGACATTATAGCCATCATAATGTTGTAGCACAATTACTCTTTTAAAATAAATTTAGTGTTGTGTAAGCATATAGTACATACAAAGTCCACAGTAGTGTACAGGAATATCCTAGACCTTCACATTCACTCACCACTCACTCACTGACTCACCCAGAGCAACTTCCAGTCCTGCAAGCTCCATCCATGGTCAGTGCACTATACAGGTGTACCATTTTTTTTTCTACCTTTTATTCTGTATTTTTACTCTACCTTTTCTATGTTTAGATACATAAATACTTACCATTGCGTTACAATTGCCTACAGTATTCAGAATAGTGACAGGCTGTACAGGTTTGTAGCTTAAGATCAACAGGCCATACCATAGAGCCTAGATGTGTAGTAGGCTATACCATTTAAGTTTGTGTAAGTACACTCTATGATGTTTGCACAACAAAATTGCTTACTGACGCGTTTCTCAGAATGTATCCCCATTGCTAAGCAACACATGACTATAGTTAGTATTGAGGAGTGCTCCTTTCTTTTTTTTATTCTTTTTTGAATATCACTGTGTTTATTTCCCTGTAGGTAATTTTTCCATAGCTTCAACATTTTCTCCTCAAAATAAAAGGAACAAAAAGAGTCTCAAAGTTTAGAATTGGATCACTTGGCCTTTTCTTACCTCCTTCCAGTTCAAAATGCTTGCGTCTCTTAATGGCCAGCATCCTCTTGGATCTGAAGTTAGGCTCAACTCATTCCAGCCTTAGCACAATCTTCTTTGTGGTTTTAGCCTTCTTCCAGAAAATTGGCTTTGTCTCCCCACCATACCCACTTTGCTTACAATCATAACACCTCTTTCCTTGGGCATACAGGGAATCCTTGCCCTTCTTATACTGGGTCACTTTGTGAGGTTGATGCTTGTCACATTTACACAAAGTTCTTCAGGTTTTAGGTACATTGACCATCTTTACAGTAGAGCTGTCTCTCTATACAATGAAATCGGGAAACTTGGCATTTGCAACCCTTGCCTCCCGCCACTTGAGCTTGTGGAGTGCTATTTTCAACACGGAAATGTAGCTGTAAACTTTATTTACTCAAAGCCCTTTATGTTAGCTCATTTATTCAATATAGATTTATTGGGTGCCTACTTTAAGCTAGGTTCTGCACGGAGCTATGAAATGCTTGATATAGTCTCTGCTTTCAGTTGGGGAAAAATTCATGAGAGGGATAGGGACTTAACGGAATGAAAGCTTATTTTGTCTATGGAGATTAGAGAAAGCTTCATGGAGAAGATGTTTTGGGCCTTAAAATGTAGGAAGAGTTTTAATAAGGAGATAGGGAAAGGAGGGCATTCTCTTAGAAAGCAGCATGCACGATGACTAAGAGGTGGTGATGCCAGGGTTAAGAGTTTAGATTTTTGGTGTAGGTCATAATGAGCCTTCAAAGCGTTTTGTACCTGGGGAGTACCTCAGGAAGATTCTTCTGCCAGCTGTATATAGGAGAAGCTGGAATGGGGAAAGACTAGGGGAAGATACAAGTGGTAGAAGGAACCAGAACTTAACAATTGTTTGGATATATAGGGCAAAAAGGGGAACAAAGATGAGTCTAAAGCCTGGGTAATTGGGAACTGGTATGTCATTAACTGAAATTAAGACAACAGAAAGAAGATTTAGGTGGAATGGGGAGTGGAGACAATGATGACTTTAGTTGGAAGTGCTTTTGAAAATGGGAGATTGGAGGCCCAAACACAGAAATGATCATTCAAGCTGTGGGGCTGGATGAGTTAGCCAGGTTGACTGTTCAGCAAGAAGTCTGAACCTACCTTTAGGGGATGGTGGAAGATTCTTTCCACCATCTTGGTTCTTTCTCACAAAGGAGAAAGAACTGGAGCAACAGTGGTTGTAATCATGGGTAACTGGGGGTCATTGAGTATCTGAGTGAGAAGAGCCTCTAGGTTAATGCAGATAGCAATTATAGCAGTTTGGTAGGTGATGTGCAGCATAGGATTGTTTTATAATGTTCCATTCCTTTCACAGACTAAAATTCCATACTGGTATGGAGTGACCTAAATTGAATAATATTTTTAAATAACCTTTGATCTAAAGACAGTATACATCTCTGAATGTTATTGGTCACTTTACCATTCCAAATTTTAAAAAAATTAAATCCTATACCACAAAAGGTTCAGGGCTTCTGACTAAGAAAGCATAAATAGAACATCATCAAGCTCCTGATTGGTTAGGACTCTGACCTGGTTTCTCAGTGTCTCATAACGTGGCAAGAAGAAGCGGGTAAGACTCGGTAGATCCAGTGTGTGTTCATTGGAACAAGACACTATCCCAACTGCCTTATTTTGTGACTCTTAGAATACGGCTACAGTGATCTCATCAGTGAGCTGTGACCTCTGTATATTCTTCATAGAAACACAGATTCTTAACAGCAAATGTATTCAATTTTTAAAGCATATTCAATTTTAAAGCTTCCTTTTATAAGTCTGGCATAATAAAGGACAACATCATCGCCGCAGCATTGTGCATGCATTCTTGACTGTGACACTGTTCTTTGAAACATTGTAAGGCTAAGATAACCTTCTAAATGACAAATGACATTATTTCTTTTTGGTTCATGTAAGTAAATTCTAGATCAAGTAATGGAACTTAAGATTTCAGATGAATTTCTCATGTTTTTCTGCCTTTCCTTACAGCTTGTTTCCCTGCAGGAACAATTGAAATATTTTCTAGAGAAGTGAGGAGAGCCTTCAGCCTGGCACACAAATGTTGGATTTTCCGTCCAGACTGAAGATGGAATCAAACTGCATATTTCTGTCCCTTCATTTGCCTATGTTGAATCAACTGTAGTTGTTTCTCTAATTCTTTTGCTAGTTATAATATGTTTGAAGTTTGTAGTTGAGTAGAAAAGGACAACATACAAAAAGTAGTAGACTTAAAGACCCCACACAATTGTGAGACTTTCTCTTTATTAATTTGAGAATTATTGTTATTATTATTTTAGAGCTAGGGTCTCACTGTGTTCCCCAAGCTGACTTTGAATTCCTGGCTCAAGCGATCCTCCTGCCTCAGTCTCCTGAGCAGCTGAGACTATAAGCACATGCCACTGCACCCAGTGAGAATTATTTGTATTGCTTCTGTGCTGTGGTATCATCAGATGATTCAGCCATGCTTGCCAATGGCAGACAGTCTAGCCTAGAGGCCACATAGTTGGTTTGCATGTGTTTTAGCTTTTCCAAACTTTTATGGTTTTTTTTTTCTGAAGTATTTCCTAAAACATAGAAACAAAATCATTTCTACCTAAGGCTAGGACCTGCCACAATGAATTTAAGTGCCTACCTTGCAGCAGTTAATACCAGGTTGTGTCCTGTCTGTGTTCAGGCAATAGGGCTGCTTTCCTGCTCAGGGATGATTTCTTACTGCTGCTTATGTTTCTTCCATTGTTATGTTTTAAAGGGTGGGGCTGGTTGTTATTCATCAGCTAAGGGAACAGTTAGAGCAGAGATGAAGAAATTCTGAGCTGTTACTCTTATCCTGAGCCTCCTCATCCTAACCCCCATAAGAAAAGGTTAGGAAAAACCAGATGCCTGTAATGCCTGTGAAGACTTCCTTAACAACCCTGCGTTGCTTTGTTTTGTTTTTTTTTTCCAGCTGTATTATTAATATTTTCTGGTCTATGATCTTTAAGCAATAAATAAATTTTTCCTTTTAAATGGACTGCCATCGATTTATTAAACTACCCCCATGATAAGTACACTCATATCCAAAAGGAAACAAGGAGACAAACAATAAACTGTATGTCTTGGCCCACTTCAGCTGCTATAACAAAAATACTGTAGACTGGGTAAAATATAAACAATGGAAATTTATTGCTCACAGTTCTGGAGGCTGGAAAGTCCAAGATAAAGGTGGCAGCAGATATGGTGAGGGCTGTGTCTGCTTTGTAGATGATACCTTCTTGCTGCCTCCTCACATAGTATAGGGGCAAAGAAGCTCCCTCAGGCCTGTTTTAAAAGGGCGCCCTCATGACATAATCACCTCCCCAGAGCCCTACCTCTTAATACTAACACATTACAGATTATGTTTCTTTTTTTTTTCCTATCTTGGGAGAACAGATTATGTTTCAACATAAGAATTTTGGGTGGACACATTCAGACTATAGCACTCTGATTAGAAAATGAAAAAATGTTGTCTGTACTGGGGTATCCTTCCAATGAATTCTTTTCTTTTTTTTTTATTTCAGCATATTATGGGGGTACAGATGTTTAGGTTACGTATGTTGCCCTTGCCCCCCCCCAAGTCTGAGCTTCAACCCTGTCTATCCCCGGGATGGTGCACATCACACTCTTTG